CCCAAACCCAAACCCAACGCAGAACAAGACTAGCTACAATTGGGCTATCACAGCACCAGGAGTGAGAATCACTAGAATAGGTGCTTTTTTTAGCTTCTAGAGTGAAAATGTCTGCCTCACCACTCCCCAAATGCTGTACTAGCGTTATAGTGTTGTGCTAGATTAGGGCTAGGGCTAGTTCTGACCAACCCATATAGTTGTCAATGATCTCAACAATCAATAAATTAAATTAGACATTTTTAAAATATATTTTAGTTAACTTCTTTTTCTACTCTTTTTAAAATAGCTCAAAGGATTGAGTGTATTGTGTTTTAAAATAAGATTGTATTTCTTACAATTCTTAACTAAATAATCTTTTCAAAACATCAAATGAATTTTAACAATTTACTTTTTGAAAAACATGAATTGTTCAAGATTTCCTGTTTCTTGTAATAATTTCTTCTAACATAGAATTGCCATTTGCAAATAATATCAAATAATTTTTTCTATATAAATTATTAAAGCAGATGAAAGATAATTCAAAATTTTTCATAAATTAAATAAAAATTTTTCATTAGACTATTTCTAAAAAATAATTATTATTTTATTCATAAAAAGATCATAAAAATAGATAAATAAGTTAGAATTAATGAAACTATTTTTATTGAGTTTAGTACATATATTTACTACTAGAGCATAAGAAACTTGGGAGACTCTTTACACAAATTTTCAAGGAAATGATCCAAATGATGCATAAGGTTATTTTATCATAAATTATTAGGTTGGATAATATACCATAATTATAATGAAAAATTATTTACTACTTGTAATGTTTATGAATTGTTTGGAGGATATAATGCATTTGGAATGAATACGATAGTATTAAAATAATTTAATTTGCCTCCTCATTATTAAATCAATATTACATTAGAATTCTGGAAGTATTTCTTATCTAAACAATAGAATTGATTGTTGGGATTATGATACTGCCTATATAATTACAGAGAATACTTAATGGTCAAAAAGTTATACTTGTAAGTAAGGGAATCAATTATGCGGAGGAGGTCCTGGTTCGGATGAATATATTGAATCAATTACTTTTGCAATGGATCATTACTCTGAATCTTTAATATTTATAGTGACTACAGACCTGGATTATCTACCAAATGATGTACAACATATTAATATAAAAGGAAAGTTGGGGATTAAGAAATTTTTCAATTTCAATTTTAAGATGTCCTTTAGGTTGTATATCTTGTTAAGATAATAATTTTAATAATTGCTATTATTGGATTGGTTTTTTATCATTGTGGTATCAATCAATAGAACTTGATGGATGGGTGAAAAATAATGATATTTAACCCAAAGCCGATAAATGTGTAATCTTTGATATCGTTGGAGGATATCTCAATTTAGCACCAAATGATAAATTAGGAAAATTAATAGAAAATTTACCTCCCCATTTTTAACTTAAAGTGTAATTCTAACTTTGGTTAATCGATTTATGGAACAATGAAATGTTTTTTTTAGAAATAGATGATTAGATTTAAAATTAAACTATTTTGAAAACTACAGATAAATTTTCTATTTGTGGATCTAAAGGATTAGAAAAAATTATTAATATTGGAATTATATTAAATCATTCATAATCTTAATGTAATATTACTATGAGAACTAATCATAATGCTATAACTACAATTGCATCTTGGGGAATAAGAGCATTTAATATATATCTAGCCAAATGTTTTAATGGTTGTGATTAATGCACAGGCCCTTTAAAAACATAATGTACTGTTTGTTCAGATGGTTGGGTCTTTTACCATACTATATGCACTTATCGTATAGATTTTTCTTATTAAAAGCCCCTCCCATTTTTTTTTCATAAATACAAATTACTTAAATTTAAGATCTTAACTCTGATGAAAGGATTCATATGGAAATCAAACTATTAGAAGTCAATAAATAGATAATTAATTAAGGAAGCATGAAACTTTCAGTTTATAATAATTAACCAATCTTGACTATATAAGTGTATGCTAAATGTATTCCAAATTCAATAATGAAAAGTAAATTTTAAAGTAATACATATTATGACTCATAATTTTATTAATTTTAATAAAACTGCTAAAGACCTTTTAATTTAATAATTTATAGTGTTTAATTTTAATTAAGCATAATTGGAGAATAAGTATTGATAATTGATACATCTGATTCAAAATGTTTAATATATTAGGTAGTTTAATTTGCAGATGAATTTATTCAAATAAAAATTTTAGATATATTATTAGAAAATATTTGAATATTTTTAATTAATATTTTAAGAATTATTTCATTAATTTTTTTTGTTACTATCATTTTAAATAAATAACTTCCCTCAAAAATAAATTTTGATATTATTGTCTATTTTAAAATAACTCTTGTGAAAATTAAATGATTTTTTTTTTTTTTTCTATATTAAAATATGATTAGAGAAATAATATTAAATTATTAGAAGTTTTTTAATAAATATAATTTAGAAATTAATCAAATTAGTTAGGACAAACTATTAAGAAAACAATAATATTATTTCATTAATCAATTATTTATTCATTTTATATTTAAATTTTAAATTTATAAATATTATCACATAATTATTCTATTTTCTTAACGTATTATGTGATTTTGTTACTAAGTTAGTAAACACTAAAAATTAATAGAATCTCATTATACTTAAGATTAATGTTTATAACGAATATTTAAATTGAGAATATTTAAAAAATTGAAAAGTTCATTTAATTTAGATTTAAGATTATGAGAAAGATTTTGGATGGCTGAAAATAGAAAATAAATTAAAATAGTAAATTCTAATAAAGAAGTGAGCTGATTAAAATAAATATACGTTCTATTAAATGCTATGATACTCAAAATTTTATTACGATGTGTGCAATCAAGAATAAATAAGAAATGAAAACGGAGTATATAATGTGAATTATTAATAATATTGGTCATTTTATATTATTATTATCCAAAACAAAGGGTTATTGCTAATCAGATTTGTATTTCAACATCTATTAGCTAGCATAAATTATATTGAAATAATAATAAAAAATATTATGTTTGAAAAAAGATTTAATGAATTTATAGTTTGTACTTAATTTTCCATAAATACTTTAATTTCCAATCTAAAATATTTCTTCATATCCAATATCCACAATTCCTCTTGACTACAATGTTAATTAGTAAATAAATAATTTGTCAAAAGATGTTTTTTATTTGAAAATTCTAGATTTTCACTTTTAAAATATTACATTTTTTTCAATATTGTAATTATATTTATTATACAATTTTAATCACATATATTCTATATACTCTAATTAAATGTCTATTAATAAAAATTTTTTCATAGTAAAAAAGAGAATTAAAATATTACAAATTTCATAGTATGAAAAGTATGAAAGAAATAGAAATAAAATTAGGCGGTTTAAAAATTTATTTAATTAATTTAATTTATAAAATCATATGAAAAGATAACAATAAAGCCAATTAAATCTTTTTAGTTTTATGAAAGACTAAACTTAGAATTCCTAAAAGATGTATAAATATTAATAAAAATTTAAAATATTTGAACGTTTTAAGCAAAGAAGAAAATAATTATTTTTAGAATATAATTCTAAATTATCAAGTACTACACCATCAATTGATACTTCTAAATAATTAAATCTTAAAAAGATTCTACCTGTTATGATGTAGTTTAATTATTAAATGTGTATATAATTGAATGTAGCATACTGAAGGGGATTATTTTGTTATTTAAAAAGAAGAATCAGTTTCAACAGTATTATTTTACAAATAAAATTTTTAGTATAATTCAATTTCTATATTTTGCCATTTAATCTATGCTTTCTGAATGCATACAATTTAACTTACTAGAGTTAAATATTCAGTAGTTATTATGTTGGCTCAAATTTTCCAAGTTGCTGATGATTTAAGCATAGGTCAAAGTAATTATCTAAATAAATTATAAAAGATATGTGAATGTGAATAGATTATATTGAATTTCAAAAAAAAAGAATTTACCTTTTAATTAAACAAACATAAATTAGATTTATTACAAATAAAAGTAAAAAATATCAATAAATCTCAACAAATAATTAATTCTAAATTAATAATTGTGGAATTAATATATAAAATTTGTAGATTTTTGGGTTATTCTATTTAGATTTACTAATTGTTCTAACCTACCTTAAATTAATTATATAATATATCAATATAACAAATAATATATTGTTACCTAATTTGTTATCTATTTTTATAATGGGAAAAATTGGATAGGTAACATGGTAGAAAGTTACCTCAAAACAAAAAAGATATTGTAATCAACTATATTACAATTTGTTTTTTTGATTTGAATTAAAATTTCTAAAAAATGGCTCATTTCCCAAAAATTACCTCGTTATGGATAATAATACTAAAAACTTTTAGTTTATATGTAAAGTAGATACATTATCCAAAGAAATATATAATTGATTTTCATAAAAGTTGATTATTAAATATATCTCACATAGTTCAACAAAACGAATGAATTCAACATATATGCGTTTTTTCAACTTCATTAAAAAAAAATCAATTTTGAGTAAATAAACCAAATAGTCGAATTAATTAAAAAAATTTTTCATTAAAGAATCAATTTTAATGAACTTTGAAAGAATTATTTCCAGAATTCAATTAAAATTAAGAAGATTTATTTTCTACTTTAAAATTGATTTTCTATCTTTTATTATCTTAAAACAAGAAGACAAGTTTTTTTCTATTTGGCAATTCTTTTTCCATAAATTACAGTAAATAGATAAAAATCATAGCTTATTCAAAAGTCTTAAGACTTTGAAAACAAATTGATTTTAGGTAAACTTAAATTGAATAAATGTATGAGATGGTTATCCTAAATTAAAAGTTAATAAAAATCTTTTTATTTAGCAATCAAATCAAATTCTAATTAATAATTATAAATATCATTAAATAATAAAGTCTTGCCTCACTAATCATTGTATCAGAAATGGAGTATTACATCTATGAAATACAAGTCTTTGAAGTGGATTATTATAATATTTGTTTAACTCTTGTAATTACTTTTTCTGTTACTCTTTTTAATAAATTGTTTTAGCATTATTGATCGACTCTAAAAGATCAATTATCAAATTAATAATTAACATTAATGAAATCATACTAATGTGAATCCATCCAAACATCAGTTAGCTAAATTCAAAACTGTAAATTAAAAAAGATCCTATAAAAAGCATAAACAAGAATTCTCTATATTTTAATTTATTCAAATCATAGGGTGATTATAAAGGTATTTAATTAAGTTTATAAAAAAGAAGAATGATTGCATAGAAAGTAATAATGATTATACTTATGGATAACTTAACTATAATAAATATATAGAAAAGAATTCTATAAATTTAGAATAATTTACAATCTGCTGCCCAAATAACATTTTAGAATCTTTATAAAAATATTTCCACTTATATTTATCTTTATTAGTAGAGAATGTGATAGTCAATAATTATAAGCTTATAACAATAATAAATAATAAACTGCATTTGGCGTTAATACTATTGAATATTTAAAAAAGAGAATTAAAATTATAATCTAGGAATTATAATAATGCGCTGAATACAAACTGATGAAGAATTGCTTGAAAGACATTAAAAATTCCATTTGAAAAGTATTCATTTTTTAACTTTAAAGTTTATTATTAAACTTA